AACCCGATTCCTTCCTTCAACATTCCGTACACTTCTAGACCCTCCTTATCCTTGGATTCTTTCCTTAGATTCTGTTCTTCTCCCTCGGCACAAGCAACAGATATCTTCTCCTTGAACCCCTGTAGACCCTCTCTTTCCAGCGTTTCATCTTCGTCGATGTCGAGCCCCTTCCATACGTCCTCTACAACCTTGACCCATTCCGTGGGTTGTCTACCCCTCTTTTTGTTTGCCCACTTCGCCTCCCACACAATTCTTGGCAACCTCTCCTCTCCCATCCCGCACATGCGATACTGCCATGTCAGCTTCCTCGCGTCTCTTCCCGACCGTAGGGATTGGATCCCCAATTCTGCCCTGACGGCTGGTAAACACCAGGGGGGAGGTCATTGGGAGGGGGGCGTTTTATTGTTGGTGTCCCAGACTGAGTCTATCCAATGCCCAGGTATAGATCTGAGTGATGTTGACATCGTTCCACGGATTGCTGCAGCTTTCAACCGCCCGTTTACATCAAGATCTAGGATTCAGTCACCGGCTAGTTTGCGTCATCCAGCGAGCTGGGACCGCTCGCGCAGTACAGCTTTATTGTCAACATTTCGGATACCTCCGCACCTTGCTCGAGGTAGGCCGTGGTGCTTGTTGCATTTGATAGCGTACCCTCTAAGTACGCATGAAAGCATACATGGACGTCGGTAGCAAGCGGTTGATTCGCCATTCGGTCCCTACCCTACGTTCTGCACCCCAACTGGACGTTGAACAAGGTGGATCAATCTCTGGCTCCGGATTGGGGCAGACTCTGATGATACTTATGCCGAGAAGAACAACGACATCGACGAGGAAGGTTTCCTCGGGAACCTGGTGTTGTTTTTGTGCTTGTTTTTCCTAATCCTGGTGGTTCATCTCCTGCTCGTGTCTGCGATCGAGGCGTGGTGGCTACAGAGAAAGGTGCGTTTTGACCTTGTTGACAACGAGTCATTGCTCGACTCTTTTCGTTCTTTCTTTCGTATTGAAAGTGCTTCGATCGATCGACGTAGCTGATGAGGTCTTGTTTCGTTCCCAGTTTCGTGGAGCTCGTCCAGCGAAATCACTCTGTATAGCGTTGTGGTTCAGCTGGAACTCTGGATGTGATGCGCTTGGGCTTGACAGGTCACTAATTAAAGTTTGAGCAGTCCCGTAAACAATATCGGGAAATTGCAATGTCGCCACATCATACAAAAACGAGTGCGAAGCATGCCTTTGGCTGGCCTTGTGGGCGCGTGGTTGTATCGAGATGGTGGTTGGGTGGAGTTACTCGCTGAGTCGGCAGAGTTGCGTACACTCGTACCCATCACATCAAACACCACCACCAGACTTTGGTACGGGGGTGCATGAGCGATGACTTCAAGGACGCGAGATTCCTGCACACTGACGTGCGTGTTGAGAAAAACTATTAATAATGTCCATGTATCGCTAGGGACATAGCACTACTTTACTTCAACGGCACTTTACCCGAGCTCCACCGTCGCACGTATGTAAGGCGCTGTGGTAAGTGCATGAGCGCAAAAGGTTTGTCGTCATGGACTGGCCGAGATCATTGCTTGAAAGGCCGTTTGGTAGTTGATTAACCTTCCGGATTCATAGAGCAGCGGAAGTACCAGACGTTAAATGACTGGCAGAAAGCATGGCACAAAACAATATACCGTGGTATTCACATGACATTTCTGTCCGGCGACTGAGGCATCAGGCTGCTTGTGATCAGCAAAATGGTGATGGATACCAAGGGTTGAAGTGCGTATGTCGCTCAACAGACACACGATCTGACGTCTTCGACGTTTTCGAACACGAACAACACGTAAAGCTCCTCCTCCCGTTCAACTTAATTTTCACACAGTATTGCCCGTTGGCGCTGTCATGGCACAGTAAGTGCACTTGAAAAACGAGAAACACAAACAGTCGGGCAGTTCCTTCATGGACACCGCTTGCCCGCGACGGGAACTGGTTCCGTCTCGGTGTGTCAAAAGTGAAGCACGCAAAGCATTACTTCAAAATGTTTCGCGTGGTGTCATGTTCTAGGGCATCCGCGTTTAACCTGACAGGGCCCTCTCACTTCCACGTCCGCTGCCAGAAACGTGACGACCTACAGGAGGTTCGTGCTGCATTCGAAGAAGGCGGCGTTCAGCAAGCCGCCTTGGCGGATGGGCCGCCGCCTCAAAGGCCTCCTCCGAGCTACGAGCAGGTGGCGATCAAACCGGACGGTCAAGCCGCTTCAGTGGATGGGCCGCTGCCTCAAGGGCCTCCTCCGAGCTACGACAAGGTGGCGACGAAACCGGACGGTGCTGCTGACGACGTCAACGTGGGCGCGGAAGGCACACGTTCTGCCGGGGGAGAAGAGGCTGGAGATGATGGACTAGGGCCGGTAGCCAAGTGCCGGGATCGGTCCAAGTCGCTCTGGATTCACTTCCCTCACGTTGAGCTGTTGTTCATCCTGTACGCGTTCCAGGGGGCCCTGGCGGCGCAGGTTGACGTTCTGCGGCACGGCAGCGGCGCCCTCGTACCCGTGGCAGCAATCGCCTTGGTGAGAACGACGCGAACGTTACTCCATACCTTCGTGTTTTCATTTTTTTCGTTAACGCGCAGCGGGCGTGGAGAACGTGGCAGGCGTTGTGCGTACCAAACGAGAAGATGCGGCCTTGGGCACCCTGACTGAGACAACGTGTACCGTACACACACTGACGAAATCGCTCTGAGGGGGGGAGCACGGACTACGGTCACCTAACGAAGCGTTGCAAGTCTAGTCTGGACCGTTATTCGTTACCCGAAAGATTGTGAGGTGTGGTTCGTTTGGCGGTGTCGTTCATTTTCTGGTTGGGGAAAACAGTGGACCGGGACCAGCAAAACCTGAGCTTGGCACCCGCGACCCTGTCTAGGTCTAACAATGGGGCGTGGACCTCACTTTCCTCGAGTGTCTCAATTCCTAATCCTCTCGCGTTGAACGGACTTCTCTTCGTCAAACCGGCGTTCCTGCCATGTTTCCTCTCCTTGCAGGTCGTGTACCCGGTCTTGGTGCTGTGGGTGATGGTTCGAGTCGTTTTCGCTCGAGTTTTCCCTCCCACCGCCACGGGGTTGGCCTTCGCTGTGACACAGAAGGACTCCTACTACACCACCAATGGCCAGAGGGGCTGCCGAGGCTTCTTCTGGAGAGTTCGTAAAGGTGCGCACCAGGGGGCAAAGCACGGGCACGACTACACGACGACTACGTTCCTGCACTGCTCAATTCAAGAACAGAAAACACCACCAACATATGTACCGTATGTTTCACGTTTTCCTTCCGCTAGAGACGAGTCGGGAAACACGATAATACCGCACGTGCTTCATCGTTGTACGTCTGTCTGCCCCTCCGCTCGGCCGAACCTCTCTCTTTGCTCCAGGTTTGGAGGAGGATCACAGTGCGTTCGCGTGGGCCAAGAAGGGAGCGTGGAGGACTGTCGAGAATGAAGACGCGAAGGAGCAGAGGCTGAGGAACTGGTTCCGCATTGGCTTCGAGCCGCTGTTTGTGGACTATACCAAGGCTGGGTCCTGGTTTGCATTGTACGCTCTGATGGAGGTGCGCGCCTGGAAACATTCGTCACGCCCTGGTACAACGCGTAGACCTACGTACACAATAGCTATCGCTGTTCACCTCTGTTAGTCTCTGCCCTTTAAGCGCCGTGCTTGCGTCCTAACTGCGCAGTACACGTCGTCCTGTGTGATCCCCGTTCTACACATACATGATCCCCCGCACAGGCAGCTGTGATAGCGTGCGTCGGAGTGCTGATCGACAGCAGCCAGGTGCAACTGCTGATTTTCCTGGGGTTGAACGTGGTGCAGTTCGTTCTTGTGGCGCACCTCACGCCTTTTGCCAACAGGTACGAGCGAGTACGGGGCGGACGATGTTGGGTGAACATGGAAGTCTGTCCACGTGTATGTGTTGAAGGATGGCGGTCGCAAGCAGCTCCTTCATATTGGCCTCCACGGTCGAACCAGAGATCTACGCGAATATGCCTATCGATCCGCCGTAGGTAGCTATTGGGATAGCTTCATGCGCCCACTATCGCAGAGCAGGTATGAAAAACGTATTTATGCAGCGCCTGGGCATGGGCATACGTCTGTGAAACCCGCCGATTGTTGGTAGAGTGTACCTCTTTCCAGTCCACCACGAAACCTGACGGAACGGCATTCCCGACCACTTCATGCCTTTCAATCTGAGGTAATTGGCATCATTTTCGTCCACGGCAGGGTGGTCGAGTCCATGGCGGCGTGCCGGGTTGGTGTCAACGCCTTCTGCATGGTCTTGCTTGTAGGCGCGGAGGCGGAAGGCGACAGCGTGCACGCGGAGAGGATGGAGACGGCCGTCGGGTGCTTCGAGCTTATACTGCTGATCGGTAGGAAACACAAGACATCCAGTGTTCAGTCCACAGGCTTAAATTTTGCCCTTTAGACCAGTTCCCCCGCCGATATTTCTTTCGTAGAATATGTCTTGAGACATCTTGGATATTCACGTGTCCACATGAAACTCTTGTTTCCTCGGGTGTTCCACCTCGTCAACGACCATTCGGGGTCCACCGGAAAGGCGTTCCACCTACAACGTCACAAAAAAAAACAACAGCAACAACGACGACAACAACGCCATCAACGAAGAGTACCGCAGAATATGTTGTTCGCGTTTCCGCGGCGAGAGGGCTGGCTCCGTCCAAACTGGATATCCGTGGAAGACGCAGTGGCTGTTCTCGGAATACCGTTCTCGACCATATCATATCCACAACACTCAAACTTCGGTGATGTGTGCATGCTGTGCATGGTTTATTTGCAGCTCTCGCGATTCCGGTGTATGTGGACACCGGGATGGTTTTCGGTGCAGCGATTTACTCAAGAATAAGAAAGATCGCCGCCAACCGTGCCGCGCGGAACGACCAAACACAGGTGGGCGCAGCGGTAGACGGCAAGAAACGTGTTGTTGGCACTGTCATAGCCTTGCGGGGTGATTATTGAATGTATACAAATCAGCATGCGGCATCAATAATGCTCCCGTTCTGATGCCGTCGCCAATTTCAATTGAGACTTGTCTCACTAGAATGAAAACCAGAAGTTCATTTTATTCTCTTGGCCACGGATCCTAGCACTCGATCGACGAATCAACCACCTTGGCATATTCCTTGCATCTGGAACTGCCGGATCCGTACCATGCACCAGCTTCCAATTGCTGAGGATGTTTTCCCTTCGAACATTCGTTGCTGAACAGGAAAAGCGTCACGGAGTGTTCCCGGGCTTAATGCTATGAAGGGTAGGGTTTGCTTGTCCAAAACAACACCGACACACAAAAAATATCCGACACAAAAGATGATGTTCTGTCCTTCCGGGCCTACTAGTGAAATCAAACCACCTGATCCCTGTGTCTGCTCTTGATTTCTGTCGACGTGCTCCTTCCGGTGTGTTGCTGGCGACCTGGCACCCACGAAGACAACCGGAGTCACCCGGCCGTGCATTCCCGAAGGTTGGGGGGCGACATGGTGTAAAATGATCGCTCGCAACGCGGCCGCCTATGCAGGAGACGTGACCAACGGCCTTCGTCGCAAGCCCCACTCTGCATGAAAAGTCATCCAGCTGGGTCTGAACTTGAATGGGCTCTTGCGCGCCGACAGCAACCCACGATGTCGTGCTATGTGCCTCGAAGCAATTCGCGCCCCACTCAATCATAATCTCTTTCACGGATGACAACCTATCGTCGACAACAGCACGAATTGCAGAATTGCTGTGCCAAAGTACAGTTCACCACTGTAGGCTGGTCAAGCGTGTATTTCAGAAGCGGCAATACACCGGCGGACAATTTTTTTTGTACTGATTGCGTGGAGAAAGAAGAGGCAGGGGAGTGTGTTCATGACCATCATTTCTGCTTGGGGTGAGATTTAGAGGCGAGTACAAATATTGTGCCGCTCTTGTTCGGTTTTTTGTTTTTCTACTGGACACAATGTCGGCAGGCAAGGTTGGACCGGTTTGAGAGGTTACCCTTGTTTGGGGGAGCTTGGCAGAGTACTGATGTACGCCTCCACCTGGGGCTACGTGTTGACTGTCGTGGGTATGGTGGACGTGACGAGCGAGGTTCTTCCTGCCTCGCTCATGCCTCTCGCTCGACGTCGAAGACAGTCAAGTCACTCCTGTTCTTTGCAAGACGCTGTCCACAAGAGCCCGTGAGCGTGGTTATGTGAAAAACAAGGCACACACGCCGATACCCCCGCACACGATATCGCGTTGGAGGGGGAATGCGTCACGTTCATCGCGGCAATACAAGTAGAGTTCGGGCCCATTCGGAATGGCTTCTCGTGTTTGGGTTGTTTGTGTTTCCACGACTCACCTGGGGTGTCGGAGATGTTTGACTTGCAACAATACTTTCGTTGTGAGAATGACAATGACTGAGGATTCGTGTTGTGCTGTGGCGCAGTTGCTGCGGGAAGGAGCGAATCACTGGGGTTCGAGACCTGTTCTCTTGCGATTCAGATGAGGATTAAGTAGTGTGGACGGATTCAATTTCATGTTACAAGGAAGATGGAACAGACGGGAGGCTGTTTGACGAACGATCTACGCTTGTTCAGTTGTTTTCGTGTTGTTGGAGAAACGGTAGCACACCGGTAGAGGCAATCCTCTGCCACTTTGCACACATAGTATGTTCTTGACTCTTGTTCGTTTCACTGTAGAATTCACTTCTTTTCTCGGCGTCTTGTAGGAAGGATTTGCTTGACACATTTTGATGTTTGGGCATGGTTGATCACTAAGCGCTTTCGACTTGATTTGAGTGGTCAATGAGCTGAAGCTTTGGTTTACGTAAGGATGGATTCCTTTTTCCGTACTAAATTATAGTTGACACAGCTAGCCTCCAGGAAGCATGTCCGGCGATATGTGTTGTTGCCATTGTCCGTGAGAAGATCTCCACACTGATATCCCATCCAGCTCGTGGCCGTCTTCGATACCGGGGGGCAGTCTTTTTTTTTCCAAGGGTACTGTAACTCTTTGCATTCGACTGTTAAAGAAGGACTTTTGTTGACCGTAATTTCTTCGAGAGGGTTGATTATAGTTGACCTTCGTCAAATTGGTGGATTACAGAGGAGTAAATGGTAGTCTGGCATCTGAACATTCGATAGATTCGGGACATCGGGGATGATTTGTGAACAACGATGGACGGCTTTTGGACTCAGTTTTTTTTATTGGTTGTTCCTGGCTATTCATGAGAAGGGTTTCGTAGATCGTACTTCTATCTCGTATCGAGTTGTAGGGCTTTTCGGGTACTCGGCGGAGTACTGATCTATGGGACTTCAATCTTTGGACTCGACAATTTTATTTTATTGGCCGTTTTGCCTGACAATTCATGGGTGGTAGCGTTTCGGAGATCGTTCTGCTATCTCGCAGCAAGTTGTGGGCTTGTTCGGGTGCACGTGATACATACGTTGTAACACGCGCCCACACGCAATAACCGCGATTCGTCCGAGTGATGGATGGGGCCGCCACAACGACATTGTTACATGGCGAAGCCATAGTGCTGTCAGGCATCGCAATAACATCCTAGAGCACGCCACCGTAGGGTGCAACCAACAGCCTGTACGGGGAGTTCACACAAGCAGCGGGTGATCGGTATTTTCTCTGTGTTACGATATCTTCTGGTGTCGTGGCGGACTGTTCTGCGCTATGCATATGGTATGGTGGGGCATATTTGGCGAGTTGGGGTTCCTATCAATCGAAACCGATCGATAGTCTACCGGAACCGGCAAATCGGGCACAACATTTTCGCGATTCGAAATACTTTGCCGGTGGTTGCTTGTGAACTAAATCGATTGTCAGCTGTGTACCGCGTCAGTTGGACGACGGATAGAAGGTACTGAGCGGATACCCGAACGGTTTTCAATGTGAAGACAGCAACAATTTCTACAACGTGTACTATAGGGGGGTTCACGTGCATCTGCTTGCGCCCTAGCCATGTGCGCTCCTCGTGGGCGCTTGCCTCGCCTGCTGTACTGCGTACCACCTGCGGTACGGCAGGGAGAGCATGGTAATCAGCGCACTCTCAGGTGGGGGTGGTAGGCCTAGACCGGGCTCTAGTCGGCGCAGGACTAGCCAGAAACAAACGTTCTCGACGAGAGAAAGAAGTAGACTCACTCGGAGTCCACAGCAAAGGCGGGGGGGTGCAGTGAGGAAGAGGAAGGGTGGGGTGAGGCGAGGGGGGTGGGGACGAAGACAGAAGAGGGAGAGGAGGACGAAGATGAGCCGGGCGTAAGGTCGAGGGGGCGTAAAGACACCCCGAAACGCCGCATTTCGGGGTTGGCGTCAGAATGAAAATGGGAACAATGTATATAAATCAAGGGTGTGTTTAGTAAGGTACATACCGAGGCGTACCAGCGGTATTATTCCTCCGGTATACCGGTACCGAAGTGTTCGGTACGTTCGGTACGGACTTCAATACCTTACCGAAGTTTTCGGTACGTTCGGTACAAATACCGAGATGTTCGGTACGGTACCGGTATGGACTGCCATACCATACCGGGGATGCTCGGTACGTTCGGTGCGGACTTGAATACCTTACCGAAAATACCGGTACGTACGGACTTAAATACCTTACCGAAGTGTTCGGTACGTTCGGTACGATGAAAATACCGGTACCGGTGCGATACCGGTACCGAGTGTACCGGTATCTGGCTAATTAATCGGTAAACATCTGCTCTGATACAATGACGTCATATCTGACCCTTTTCTGGTTACTTGTCACGTGGGGGCACACGTTTCCTTGTGTCCGTTCGGTACTTGTACTTCAGTTGGACTCAGCGTGAAATCTAAGTTTTCGCTCGTCGTTATTGTTTCGATTTTGCAACAGGGCAATTCGCTCTTGAATTTTTACTGTCGTACAGACCCTTGAAAGTTCAAGTCCTTCGTCGTTTGTGTTAGATACAAATTGAAATTAGAATAGGTTTATTGGTTTGTTTTGTTGGACTCGCGCGCGTAATAAGAGAAAAATATATGTTCAAAATCAAATCATAAAACTAAAATTATTTCTATAGATAGAGATGGATTTGTTGTGTTATATTAAGAAAATAAAGAACGAAAATTGAAGTTAAAACTAAAATTATACTCCGTATTCAAGAAGACCCGTGTTATTTTTAATTTGCTGTTCTCTCCTGACTGTCTTCCATTTTCAATAGGGAGAGTCCCGGATTCGAATTGACTCCGTACCATTTTTTTTTGTCTTACTGTTGTGCGCACACACACATTCTTGATAGGCGATATCAATATTGACATCGCATGTATGTATTGGGGCGTATTGCGTGTAATATTAATATTGGGGCGACGCTCGGCAGACATACCGGACAAATACCGATATCGCCGGTACGGTACCGGTATGGACTGCCATACCATACCGGGGATGCTCGGTACGTTCGGTACGGACTTGAATACCTTACCGAAAATGCCGGTGCGTTTGGTATGGACTTCAATGCCTTACCGAAGTGTTCGGTACGTTTGGTACGATTAAAATACCTTACCGAAAATACCGGTGCGTTCGGTATGGACTTCAATACCTTACCGAAGTTTGCGGTACGGTCGGTACAATACCGAGATGTTCGGTACGGTACCGGTGTGGACTGCCATACCATACCGGGGATGCTCGGTACGTTCGGTACGGACTTGAATACCTTACCGAAAATGCCGGTGCGTTTGGTATGGACTTCAATGCCTTACCGAAGTGTTCGGTACGTTTGGTACGATTAAAATACCTTACCGAAAATACCGGTACCGTACCGAACACACCGATACATATGCCGGAAAATGTTAAGACAGTAGGCGAACGGAAAACGCCCTGCACGATTCCGCACTCCTACATTTGTACAAAGAAAGGTGTACGTTGAGCTTTGGGGTTCTTCGTTCACGCGTGAGAGGCGTGACGCTATTCCGGGCTTTTTGGGTCATTGATATCTGATTCGAGGATGTGGCGATTGGGGTGGATGATGATATGGATGTTTTTTTTATATATATATTGACAATTGATTGTCGTGGCTTATTTTCCACAAGCAACGCGTTCTCGGTACAGGCCCGCGAAGCACAAAAATTGGTGTGCCCCCCCCGCCCATCCATGTTGTGTGTGCGCGCCAATGATCCACCTCTCACGGTTGGAAACGCCCGTGTGGCCTCGTTACTATCGAACGCGCACGCACGCACATGACCTTCCCCGCGCATGGCTAAGTCTACCCCAGGTCTTGAATGCAGAATCAATCGCCCTTTTCGTATTAGGATATATTTCGCGATATACGCTATTTTTCACAACACTGTCGTTCCAGACAAGGGTGCCCATAAAGAGCCATCCCACGCACCCAGGTTCCCCCCCCCCCACTCCCCGGGCGGGCCGAAAAAAAGTGTCAATACTTTTTGCTTCTCATGGGGCTTAGCGCCCACTTCACGCGAGCTGCATGTGGGGGACACATCGTTCTAATAGCGACAACGTTTTGTGGATCATCGGTCCGGGGTTCCCAAGAGAGGATCCCAGCTCGCGCATAGGTACCCCAATGAACAATGGGTTCCCCACCGCGTGGCCCGTTTGCTTTATATAGGAATTAGAGCACAGTTACCCCCCGCACACCCGGACAACCTCCCAAGTAAGAATAAGGTACGTAGGTCTCGTATTTTTTCGGGCGCCCCTGTCCCAGATTGATGGGCCGATTCCCTGTCTGTGTGCACTACCGATCGGCTTCTATACACACACAATAACGACCAAAATACCAAGTATATCGCCCCCGTGTGATTGAGCGCAAGGATGGTGTGTGCAGCACAAAAAGATATCCGCCTGGCCCTGAATCAGCGTCTGTCTGCGGTACCCAACGATCAACACCTGCCAACTGTTCATGTGGCAAACTGAGCTTCTAAATGGTTCCTTCTACAGGAAGTACCAACCACCCGAAGGCGCTACACTCCCTCGTCTCTAGGCTAATTACTTGAAATGCTATCCACATGGTGTTTCTACATCGCAGGAGGAGTCCTACGATTTGCAACTGCATACCATTGCATCTATCCACCACGACACCTCGTATGATTTGAACCCACACAGAAAAAAAACGACCCACTTTTGCTATTCTTTGTGAAGTTCCCCACATGGGGCCTGCTGCGGGTTGCACCATACGGTGGTGCATGCTCTAACATGTTCTTGCGATGCCCGGCACCACTGGAGGTTCTGCCTTCCAATTTCGTTGTTGCTTTTGTTTGGGTGTCGGCGCGTGTGCAACTTATCACGCTCATAGCCTCTTCTCGAAAGCGTTTTGCACAGAAGAGGAGTGACTCGACTTCCTTCCCGATTAATGAAGTTAACAAGTGAGAGACATGAGCGAGGCAAGAGAAGCCTGCTCGACATTTACACCATAACCCAAATCATCCACCCGTCGCCCCCTGTAGGCTCCGTAGACATCAGTTCCCCACCGAATATTCAAACTGTCCAACTATGTGGCGGTCCGTGATACAATCTACGAAAGAGACCCTCTTCACAATATGCCAGGTAACACGGCAATCCGAAACATTACAAATCAGTATCCAAGAACCATCCATCGTTCAAATCCATAGGATATATTCGAGAATCATCTCCAACTCCCGAATTTATCGCACATGCAGATGGTAACGAAATTGATGGGACGGTGTAGTGCTCAATGATACGCTATGTTCGGCTGGTAAAATGGTGTTGACACATACAAGTACATGTCACCGGTACTCTTCGGCGCGTAGCTGTGTCAGCTATAGATCTATAGGTGGATCCGTTCCGTCCTGTTTCAACTGCGCCACAACAACACGACACCGCATGCAAACCCTCAGCCTTCACCATTATTCTCAAGAAACAATATACCAAGTCGACCTGTGTATCCGCACAATCCTTTCTGGTGGAGCGTCTGCTCCACTGAAAGCTCGCTATACATCGTCTCGGTTTCGTCGACGCAACAAACATTAAGGGTATTCCTTGACGGCATGCGGACATGATCGTCATGAAGAACCCCCCTTCTCTCTCATTCTTTCCGGCGCAATCAGTAAAGGAGCATTTTCTACCCACGAGTGGACTGCCGTTTATGGAACACAACGTTTGTCGCTCCAACACTTGACCAGCTATACCGGCGATCTGTACCTTGGCACAGCGGCTCGCGCTGTGGTCGAGGATCTAGTTGTCATCCATGGCATAGACAACTGACTTGAGTGAGCGCGAATTGCTTCGAGGCACATAGCACGACATCGTTGGTTGCTGCATACGTGCAAGAGCCCTTTCAAGTTCAGAGCCACCTGTGTGACGTTTCATGCAGAGCGGGGCTTGCGAAGACCGTTGACCACGTCTCCTGCATAGGCGGCCGCGTTGCGGACGAACATTTTACACCATCTCGCCCCCCAAGTCTTTGGGAAATGTAGAGCCCGGCGACCTCGGATGTCTTCGCAGGTGGCCGGTCGCCAACAACACACCGGAAGGTAGCTAGTCGACAGAAACTAAGAGTAGGCACAGGGATCAGGTGGTTTGACTTCACAGGTATTGTGTTGGTGTTGCTATTGACAAGCAAACCCTACCCGTCAGAACATGAAGCCCTGGAACAATCGGTGACGCTCTTCCTGTTCAACAACGAATGTAAGCAGCGAAACCATCCTCAGCTTGGAAGCTGGTGCACGGTACGAATCCGACAGTTCCAGACGCAAGGAATATCCCGAGGTGGTTGATTCGTCGATCGAGTGCTAGGATCCGTGGCTATTAGGTTAAAACGAACATTATTTTTTTGTTCTGGTGGGGGAATTCTAAATTCAAACTGGAGACGGCACCAGAACGGGATCGTTTATGATCCCGCATGCTGATTTGACTACATTCAAAAGTCACCGCGCAAGGTTATGACGGTGCCAACAACACCTATCTTGCCGTCTACCGCTGCGCCCACCTGTGTTTGGTCTTTCCGGGCGTACGGCACGGCGCAATGTGGACGCTCAAGATTAGATTTGTCACTCACGTTTCACGTCACGTGGGGAGGGGGGGGGGGNGTCGCTGCCACGAAAACATCGCGGTGTCCACATACACCGGAATCGCGAGAGCTGCAAATAAACCATGCACAGCATGCACACATCACCGAGCTTTGAGGGTTGTGGATAAGATTTGGTCGAGAACGGTATTCCGAGAACAACCACTGCGTCTTCCGCGGATATCCAGTT